AAAGCTCATGAGCTTTGGGTAATGACCGAAAGGACAAGATTGTGGAAATGAGCCTCCTCCGCAGATTGGCCGGGCGCTACCTCATCTAAGATAGGGATTGGAATTTAGTCTCAAGACAATTGGAACTGTAGATATGTGATGTGAGAGTAATGTGAGAGGAACTATTGTAAATCTTGTGCTATTGCACATGCCACAATACACCAAAGTAAACAGTGCAAATAGAAGCAATGGAAACCTCCATTGGCCAACCAAGGCCGGTCAGAGTTCTCACCATGACCGAACTGCACTTGAGTCAAAGTGGAACTGTTCCAAGACCATGTCCAGAAGCTGGTCTCGGTGCGGTTGTGAAACCGGACCAGTTTCACACAGCCTGTAGGTGTGAAAGCACCCTTAGACTAATCTTCAATGTCAGTGAAGTTCTGTTAAAACATGAGAGACTGGTCATGCTCTGTAATGTCCTGGAATGTAATATAGAAACATACACCTTTGTTTTGATGGTGAAACTATGGTTCATATATGTTGGAAAAGAGAAAAGAAAATCAGGTGAAAGATGAGTTTATTTTACGGTTTGTTTGAGAAAACGTCAAATGTTTAGATAGTTGTGTGACGCCGCATTCACTACAGCCAACGTCATAGTCAACGTTTTGCTACCCAGGGAGCTTTTCAGGCATCTTAGTATACATAATTTCAGTGCATTTTTGACCTATGTATTTTTGCTTTGGTTAACACAGTAAATACTTTTTTCAGTTCTACATTCTACATTCATGCACATGACGCCAGCTTTATATGTACATGCTTTAAGTCCCCTGCCGTCAGCTACACAGTGCTCAGTGAGGTATGTCTAAAGTCATCATTATTTCACGAGTCATCAGCGCTGCAGTTAAAAGTAGCACAAGGCCCGATGCAGTCTCTCGTCTCTCAATACTCCCAGAACCAGAAGTAATTGGATGTATGATGGAGCGGAGGAGGATCTGAAGACCTCAGGCAGAAGCGAGCAGCGCAGAGGTGGCCCTGTCTAACCTTGGACGGCGTGAATAATTAATGAAACATAGGAATGCATGATATTGTGGCGTGCTAAGGCAAAGAATGTGTAAGAATACTTTAGGCTTCAATCTTAGAAGACATAATTATGCCTGCCATACAGTGCACTCTCGTGGCTCATGATTATATAGTGTGGTGCCCAAAAAGTGCATTAGTGCCTGTACAAAGTATGTTTTCTGACAAACAGTGCGCCGGTGCAGTAAACTGAACTAATGTGCAAAATAGATCCACGTGTGTTATTGTCACTTAATGTGAAAATGTGCTGTGTCCTCATTCCTACTGTCTGTAACTGTGATGCAACAGTAACATTTCCCCACTGTGGGACGAATCAAGGATCTCTTAATCTTCCCATTGGGGGAGCTCCATCGGTGTGAAAACATGTTAAGGGATTGAGGGATTGTCACTGCCTCAACACACTTGTTCCTTCTTTATTATATTCTCATAACATTTGTATAATGTTACAATTATAGCTATTAAGAATAGTACATTTATTGCAACCAATCATGTTTTTTACTCTATTGACAACTATTTTATTATAACTGCTCTATTTACATACAAACAAAGCAGTATTTACAAAATAAAAGATATGCATAACAGTCTTCATTCAATTATATTATTGTTTGGTCTGAAAATAATATCTTTATTTAACTTCACTTAAAAATATATAACATATAATCAATAAATGAAATGAATAATTTCTAGGTTGCAGCCCTTACAATTACTGCACACCTGCTAAAAGGTGAGAATACTGGTAAGAGCATGCAGAGTTTGCACGTTTCTCCCTGTGTCCCAGTGGGATTCCTCTGGGCGCTCCTACCCCACTGCCCTAAACATCATCAAAACCTCCACCTCCTGGAGTCATGAACAAGCTGAGCTTCAACCTCTGGAGCCGGGTCCCCAGATGCTGCACTGTGGAGACCTTTGCTTCTGACAGAGGGCCAAACAATATGCTGAAATGTGTATATAATTTCATCATGTTATAAGAATGGCCGTTACCATGGCTGTAGTAAGGCTGAAGCAGCCACACTACTTTTGAACCATCATGAACCATCATGATTAATCATGATTAATCAAAATAAAATCACAGAATAAGTGAGAAAGAAAATGCACCTCCTTGGGCCATTCACAAGCTGTATACAAACGCTAAAGCACATTGGACAATATGTCAGAGAGATATGTACGCCACAGACAGATTTTATTTGACAGAATGTACTAAACTATATTATAAAAGAGTCTGCAGACTTCTGTATTCAGTCCATCAAGTTAACCATCCGTGGATAGGTTTTCCTTCGAGAAGAAATGCGTGCACAAATGCTGGCAAAACAACTGCATCAGAGGAGTCAGGATTAGGGCCTTCAGGTGTGAGAATATATAAACATGCATCAAAACTGTGAAAAGTATGTGTGTACTGTATGTCCTCTTTACAATTTAAATTGTCTTTTTTTTACCTTTTCACCATGAAAATATCTCTTATAACACCTGTCTCAGTAATCTGTTTTTAATAGTGATGGGCAAGCTACTTGATTTGTGTAGTGAGCTAAACTACATGCAGCTGCACTACACAGAAGCTACAAAAAATGAAGCAAGCTAAGTGACAAAATCCTGTCAAAAGTAGCTTGATTTGAAGTACCTACTAAACAAAACAATCAGAAAGTCGATGCAATTTTAGTGATCAATACAACAGTCAGGCAGATAAACACAAAAAAGCCTTTTGAAATTGTAAACAAACAAAAAATGGGAAAAAATACTTGCAATAACAAAATAAGTAGGCAATTCTTATTCCATTTATAGAATAAGCTAAAATCAAAAACATATTTTGTCTTCACTAGCTGTGGAGCTGGCTTATTATTATTCCATGTCCTGGTTAGCATGAGTTATCATGAGTTATCTATCATAAGTCTTCCATTCTCCCACCTCTTATCTACTTCATTTGTTTAGTTAGCTGATTTAAGGTTACTTGCACTCATGGATGCAAAATAGAATCGCGGTATATTCAATTAATTCACCTGAATGTGTGTTTGTATGTTTGTGTTGAATGTCATTGACATTGAAAGAAACCTTTTCTTGGGATTACAAAGAAGGCATCTGAAAACGTATTTATTATCGCTCTTCTCAACTCAAGTAACGCACTTTTGTAGGTATGGTGTCACATTTTGAAACTCCTCCTTGGCTTCTGGGATCTCTGCCATTCTTTCTTTTCCTTCCAACAGTGTGTGTGTGTGTGTGTGTGTGTGTGTGCGTGCGTGTGTGTGTGTGTGTGCGTGCCAAGAGTTATGCATGCGCTTGTACCTGGCGTGTTGTCATGGACACATATGCATCCAGTCTTCCTAATTTGTGTGTATTGTGGCTACAGGAAACGCTGTTATGTACAAACTTTAGAAATGTCCAGGAGAAAATAGCTTTTGAGGATGCTACTGCACTACTTCAATAAAAGTGACTTGGTTTTGTAAATAGAAAGGTTACCGTCAAGCTATTGAAAAAAGTAGTTAAGCTTAAGGACATTTGTGAACATTGGTCTTCTGCCCCTTACGGACCAAAGGCTCTATGTGTTTTTGTCATTGCAGATGAATGGTATAAATGAGTGTCCGCGATAGTGTTGTGTACATATCCTGGTCATAATTTTGTCACTTTAGTGCAAATTAGTTGAAACATCAACTCTCTGCCTAGAACCGACAGACTGGGCGGGAAAGTCGAAGGGGAGGAGCAGAAGCGGAAAATTGACGAACGCAGGAGATGAATTTGCTGAACATTTCCTCGGGACGCTCATGCAGCAACCAATCAGAGAGCCGCAAAGTGGTCACGGGGACAGTAGTGGTCTGAACGAGCAGACTGAACATACTGCAAACAGCCAAAACAGGAGCTACATCAGGACTAAACCAAGGTTGACAATGGGGGACATAGTGCTTGTTGACATGGGAGTTTTTATGCTCCCGTGACTTTATGCAACTGGTTCGAGCGTGTTCGCCGATGCAGAAGTACCGTTTGATAATAAAGTAAACGTATGGCGCACCTCCGTGAACACATACTGCTGTTATATAAAGTCTCTGGAAGGTCTCTGGACACAGACACGCTGTAAAGCTGCATTATTGGAGAAGATCTTTACACAAGAAGCCGCTACCTAAACTCTGTTAGCATCAAAGCCCGCTGGCTACTTCCGCCACTTCCGGTGCATGCCGGGACTTCTGGTCTGAAGACCCCTGCGTCTGAAAACTAGAGAATGTGCGTCTGGTGAGCGAGGCTTCAGCGTTTCAGCGTTGGCGGTCTGAAAGCAGCAATAGACTGTATATATTAACGGACGTAGTCACGCCTATCTCCGCCGTTCTAACTAATGGGCCAAAAATTGGGCTCTCATGGAGTGATTCAAAATGGCTGCTGCGGGGGGTCTGCGCATGCGTCAGCCGGCACGAGCCCCATTCATTTAAACGAGTGACTTCAAAAATTCACAGCGAGTAAACTAGAGTGGTCCAAAAAAATTCACCCCCCTCAGCATTGACACACATGTGGAACGGAGCTTTGGGCCAAGAGCCAACTTTTGGATCGTCCTGTAAAGGTGTTTTTGAGAGGTAAGAAGATGCTATATGTTAGCATTGGCTAATTCTACTTCTGGGTCCACCCCCATCGGCCCGAGGTGGTATTGCAAGCATGTCAGCGCACGTCATTTTGGCAACTTTTGAGCCGGGACCCGCCCCCACTGGGCTATGCCCATTTGGAGGGAGATTTTAAAAGAAAATGTGAGTGACGTAAG